TTTAGTCCGGAAAGTTCTGGTGCTTTTTTCTGATGAAATGACTCTTTTTTTTTATAGTGAATTGAAATATTGAAGCCTGATGAATGCTGACTTCATTTGGTTGAGGAAGGATAAGAATTAATGAGTTGGGGATGACTACTGTGCTGATGTGGTGGGGTTGTGCAGTTCTAATTTGACATGACAGGATTTCTTTTGCATCTTGCGATATCTCATAAAAATCCCAGCCAATCAAAATACTATTTCTGCCTATTTTGTGTCACCAAAGTACTCTCGAATTACCCCTCACCACACGTGGAAGTTAACTTTATTTTTTTAATTATAGAAAATTTGTAACTTTATTTACAATCAACCATTTCATTTCAAATGGGACAAAAATGTGCATGAATGACTAACAATTTGCATGCAACAATCACTCATTCCCGATTCCAATAATAATATTCATTTAAATTGTAATCATACATATTTCATTGTTATTGCAGGCATGGATGGAAGCTACACGATTAACATTCTTCGAAAATTGCAATAAACACGACAACTTTTTTTTTACAAATTCTTTAGAATTTCTATGAGTGTATGAAGATGAATGCACACATGCATATGTATGAGCATGAAACATGAAACAATTAAAATTTAATTAAAATATCGATTCATGAGAACTTTTAGTGTGACGAGAATTTTTTTGATTTAATCAAATGTAAATTTTTATATCAATTTACATTTTTTATTTTTTATTTACATAACACTTATAATTGTTGATGAGACAATCAGACTATATTGCATGAGATGAATTTGTAATTTTTTTGAAATTTACAACTTGTTCATTAATTTATTTTTTTAAAAGCTTGACTCGTAAAGTGTTGCGTCAAATAAAGCGATGCTTCAAGATGAATCAAAAAGTCCAATTTTAAAGCGTTGCTTTAAGTTTGGTTTGTAAGTGTTGTTTAAAGTTTGGTTTGAAAACGTTGCTTTAAGTTTGTCTTGTAAGCGTCGCTTTAAGTTTGGTTTGAAATCGATGCTTCAAGTTTTGTTTCAGAGCGTTGATTCAAATCAAAGCATTGTTTCAAGTCAAATTCAAAATAATTCTCTCATTTTGTCCAAAGTAAATCATGTCAGAAAATTGATTTTATCACGTTTTATGCATAAACATCATTAACTAGTCAATGCACATCTTAAGATCCATCCAGCCATCAACAGCAACTGCATAACAACAGGGAATGAATAACAATGGATGATGCTGATGGCAATAAATGGCAATAAAATATCCATTAATGTTAAAAACCATGACTTTAGCATAAAGGTGGCACTGCAACCAGAATGTAAATTGTATATTGTCGTGGCAACAGCAATGTTAAAGTTCACATCATACAAACGGGTAAAATGATGACATTTATTAGTTTTGAACGCGAATAGATGGAACATGATGGCTGCTTCTACAGCTTTTTCATCTGAGGTTACTGAACGTTCAACTGGTGAATTGTGGAATCAAATCTGGATGGAAAAAAAAATTTGCCATTGAGACAGAGTTCAAAATTTTGAAAATATAAGGGAAGTCTGAATTGATGTATGGCGTACATGTTCTCATTGTCTTTTATGTGATGACATAGTTATGCAAACTGAGGATGCATGAGGAAGTTTTAATATTGAATGTAGGATGCTTAGAAAGTTTTATAATAATGGCATCAGATGAACTTTTAGAGCGACGACTTGTTCAAAAATTAAAGCGATGACTTTAACAAAAATATACTAAGGCGACAACTTATTCAAAAATAAACTAAGGCGACGACTCAATCAATAAAATTAAAAAAACTAAAGCGTCGACTTATTCAAAATAAATTTAAAGCAACGATTACTTTAGTAATAAACTAAAGTGTCGACTTATTAAAAATTCAAAATTAAAGCGTTGACTTATTTTAAATCAAAAGGTCAAGCAACGTCTTACAAATCTTTGAAAGTTGTTAACATTATGTTCATCCACAAAATAAAAATCATCTTACAAGACAGATATTTATCCCAATCTAAGATTACATACCTATATTTTATGCTGTACAAAAAAAGGCAAAAAAATATTCATCACTACTATTTGTCTATTCATTTTTTATGGCATGTGTAGATACATAACCCTTTCATTATGCTCTCTTCCGTTCTTCATAAATATTTTCTTCAATAGAATAATGTGAGACTCATTCATCTCCCATACAGTCTCCACATTTTTGTAATAATTCATGGTAATGGAGTCTGGGAAATAAAAAGGAAAATATGAACTCAAAAAAAAATATGAATTCATAAAGATTTTGCTATTTTTTTTATTGAAAACTACAACAATGATAGTTTGTTGAAATGGATACTTCGAGAGCAACAATAGAATGTGATATTGTAAAGGAAGTTTTTAATTTGGAACTGAATATAAAAGACTTATGTGAGATATTTAGAATATTTTCATTAAGGATGCAAATAAAACAGAACGAAGCAGTCAAATGCAGGTTGAAGTATTCAGAGTTATTTATGGAAAATACAAAGAAGTGTAAACCTTGAACTTAAGTATTGTGACTCAGATGAATAGAAAGCTAGTATAAAGAATTGAATATAGTGTCTTACAGAATCTGAATTCCTTATCGCTATCCAGATAAAGCTAAATATAGTTTAACATTGATGCATCCTTGGAGTTCAAGACTTGACTCTCCTTCACTTCAACCCCGTTCTCTTTATAGCTTACCATCCACATCATAACTCTTACCAAAAAAACTCAAAACCCCCTTTCACAATTTTCCAGTCTTTTAACTTAATCAAGCCTATAATTACGCAACTCAAACATTGATTTCCTGAATAGACACAGTCCAGACAGTCACACCCATTTACATTTCCTACCAAAAAATTTACTAACCTTATGTTTACATTTCACAACTCAAATAAAACCCCACAAATCATCCCTGAAAATTGATTTTGGACATAAAAACTTCATTTCCTGTCCACCTTTTCATTAATATTTAATAAAGAAAATTTAATCAAAGACACGAAATAACACAAAATTGGGGTTAGAGGAAGGAAATTAAGGATTGATTTCTCATTGAATATTAAAAATTAATTAAGTAAATTTCAACAAAATAGCACAGAGGGGCTTAATAAATCATTTAGCATGCACACGCTCCTTGTTTAAGGTTTGTATAAAGGAAAGGCTTTTGGTTCTATTTTGTTTGATTTTTTGATTGTTTAATTTTAATAGAAAGCTAGAAGTTTATTTTGCTGCTATTTTATCTTGACTTTAATCAGTCCATTAAACATCAGGATACATCATATCTTCTTCTGATACTCATTAACATAATTTTACAGATAAACCAAAAAACGAACGAACGGCCATGAAGAAAAACGGACCTGAATAGTAGCATCAGTTCCTTTTGAAACTGTAAACTAAAACCATTCAAATTAAGTCTTCAAGCGATAACCAAACAAAACCTTTATCTGTTTAATAATCGTTACTATTGTAGCCAATGGTTCAAGCATGAATAAATAGTCCAAAGCAAAGGTGCGGAATAACTCAACCACGTTCACATTCCCGGAGCTATAAATCATTTTTCTCTTCCTTTTGCCATTTCTCATGGCGTTTTTCCATCATTACCGCTGCTTACCTCTTGCTATAAACGATTGTCTTGTTTACAAAATGTGCTGATATTATTGATTTTTCTCCAATTGTATGTATGTCGACTGTTATGTGAGTAACGAGGCCAGGAAAAAGGGCAAATGAAAACATTTTTCATGAAGAAATTTATGTTTTTTTTTTCTCGTAACTGATGGCAAAAATGGCATTTTTGCTTGTTCACTTCTTCTTTAACCTGTTGCTGATCTCCCGTACATATACACACTCACATATCACATCAATGTAGCGTATTTATAATGCAATATATATTCAGTCTTGTGAAAATTTAATCAATTACTCTGTTTTATGCTTCACTGCATCAAATGTTTTAATGCTTTAGACTTCATTACTGCTCATGCTCTCATGTAATATAGCCGATGGCTGTGACAAACCGCAGCTCCTAGCTGTACTGCTTCATCCATGAGTTTCGAATGCAGCAGTGATGCAACAATAATAAAAAAAATTGATATTGAAAGCCACACATATGCAGACATTGGACGGGACGAGGATTGTGGAAATTAAAATTTTTCAATTGATTAATTTCTCGATGTGATGAAATGGATTAAAGGGGGTAGGTTCAGGGTATAATGACAACGTGAATTAAAACTATCATTGGTTTGAGATGCGTTGTGGATTGAAAACTGAACTCGATGCTTCCATTTTTAGGTTACAGACAAAATTGTCATCAATTTAGTGGTTCGAATTACATTTTGGACTTGCAAAGCAATTAGCCTACAAACTTGCATCATTCCAAATCCACCAACCCCTTCGTACCTTACGACAAACAAACGCCCCATATTAATTTCATTTTCATTTCTCTCTTTCCATAGCATCCACTTCTTCTGGCAATTTAATTGATAATATATCACAATTGACTGACAACTGACAATGAATATTGAATGGACAAATAAAGATATACACATACACATAGCCAGTGAAATGAGTGTCTGTTAAAATTTAATTGATTCTATAATACAAAACAAAAAAGTTTTCATTGTAGTTACTAACTTACAACATCCCCCAAGGCGGGTTGAATGGAACTAGAAAACAATAATAAAAAAAAGTTAAATGATGTTAAAGACTTTTGTTATTAAAATGATTATTATGGATTTATTAAATGAACAATGTATGTAAATTAAGTTTTATTTGTTTTATTGCATATGTTTTGTCGTTTGTTTTACTGTTTGTGGCTAGTTCTGTTTTTTGCTATGTTTGAGTTCTAATGATGTAAGTGGGTTGCATAACTATTAGGAGGAAGTTTTTATTTAGATTTTAGGGGTTCTATTGATTATTTTTTGTGATTATATTCTTAGGATTAATATTTCGTAATAATAATAAATTCTTGTTAAGTTTGTTTAACATTTTTATTAATTATTTATTGAATAGATTTTAATATTATTAACATTCTGAATTCAGTGTTAAATATTTTAAATTAAAGTTTAAGTATGGAATCATTTAAACGCATTTACAAGCTTTTTGTTGACCAATTAAGTAAAATGTACATCCCAGATTTTTGACAGCATTAAAGAATGTATTAGCCCTGTCTCTACATGCTTTATTCGAACAAGTATTTCTCATACATGTTCTGAAACTGTTGTCACATGATACCTTATTGCTGTTGCATCTTGCGTAGCAAAAATCATGGCTGTTGCAGCATGTCATAAATCCAGAATTAGGAATCCACTTATCTGGAACACCAATGATTTTTGGGCCACATCCGTTTGCAACTGCTCTGAAGTTTGGATCGGCAACAGCTCTTTTAGCTACCATTTAAATTTAAAACCAAATTAGTTCTATTTTTAACTTAGTGCTAGAACAATTGTAACTTACAAAATGAACACTTATATTCACAGCAAAGTGCCACAGAAACAAGTGCAAGAATCACGAGGAATTGCTTCATTTTTGTTGAAATAATTGTTTTTTGTTTGATAGTTAAATGTAAAAATTTATTGATTTACTGAATATTTTGAAGCAAATATTGTTCTTTTTATAGGTTTAATTGGGTTTAATGAAATTTAATTTTGGCCTAATTAAAGACACTTCAACGATAAAGCTGTGAAATTAATAATTTATTGTTTTGCTATGCAAACACACACTATCTTGCCACGCTTGTTTCCTTTCACAACAAAAGACAAATTATCCGAATTTTATATGTTGACAAATACTCAAGTCTAAAATAATTTAGAGAAATTGTAAATCCGACAGAAAAAGAACTTCTTTGTAAACTTTTTTTCTCCCTTCCGTTTTGCCCCCAAAATAAAATTCTCTTTTGCCACAGCAATATAAAATTTTTGATTTTTATCACCACAAAATTCTAAATGAATTTCCCTTTCCTTTCATTTCATCGATAACACTGCAACCACAAAGGCAAAAAAAGAAGAAGATAAAGATGAAAAGATTCCACAGAATCACAAAGGAGCGGAAGGGAAGTGAAATTCCTACGTGCTTGGAAAGTGCAAAAGATAAGAGAGCAAAGTTATTTTTGAAATTGAAAAAAAAAACCTCAGCTTTTCAAAAATGTGAAGATGTTGCTATTTGAAATTCTGTTCTGTGAATCATTAGAACATCCCCAGTTGGGACTTGAATGTTATAACTCAATTACAAGTCCCTAATTGAAATTGAAAGGAATTGAAAGGTTGTGCTTGCTTAAAAGAATTTTAATCGGAGAGTTGAGTGAAAATTTTTGAGTTTTTTTTGGATTTGAAGAATTTTTAAGGTGAATTTGAAAGATTTTTTTGAAGAGAATAAATAATAAATATGAAAGCGATGAGTTAATAAAGCTAGTCCTAAAAGTGACGACTTAATGAAGCTAGTCCTAAAAGTGACGACTTAAGGAAACTAGTATTTAAAGCGACGACTAAACAAAGCTAGTCTTTACAGCGACGATTTAATTAAGCTAATATTTAAAGTGACGACTTAATGCAGGTAGTATTTAAAGCGACGACTTAATTAAGCTAATATTTAAAGTGACGACTTAACACAGCTAGTATTTAAAGTGACGACTTAACACAGCTAGTATTTAAAGCGACGACTTAATTAAGCTAATTTTTATAGCGATAACTTAATTCAGCTAATATTTTAAGTGACGACTTAACACAGCTAGTATTTAAAGCGGCGACTTAATTAAGCTAATATTTATAGCGATGACTTAACGAAGCTAGTCTAGCTACGATTTTAAAAGCTAGTCCTTAAAGCGATGACTTATTAAATCTAGTCATCTAAGCATTACAATTCAAATTCAATTTAATTTCCATAATTAGATTCAAAATTGCATCCAATGAGCTACAATCTTCAACAAAAATCATTTAAAACATCTCAAGTGCATTGTAATGAAGATTTATTTACGATAATTAATTCGCATAATCTTTAAGTCCACAGCACTATTGTATCATGCCAAATAAATTTATTAATGAGTAAGATCGACAATCAATTTGAACACGCAATTGTACTTGTTTACATTCTAATTTTTTCAACCCTCTTATCCCCTTTCAATACATAATACATCTTGTGTCATGAAAAGGAGCTTAATTATGTATCGAACTGTAACAGCTTGCTAATCCTACGATTATTGTGTGCGTAGGATGAAATTAAAGGTTGAATTTGGAAAAGAAAACACGAAGATGTTCATGAGAAAGGCTTACAATTAAGTAATTTACTCGCAAACATGTTCGAAATGCGCAACAATGCCAATTTTACCTCATTTCCATGAATTTTCATAAATACTTAATGTAATAAGTCCAAAAAGGAAGGTGAACAAAGACACTAACAATATTAAAAAGGACAACGAATTCTACTTTAAATGGACGACGGTAATGTCAAGATGTTGCATTAATTCTAATTAATGTCGGAGGGTATTGCATTAGGAAAACAAAAATTCCTATCTTATTCATTTATTTAGGTTGAAATTAAAGTCTAAAATTAAGAAGAACAAAAAGGTTTTTTTTTTCATTTAGAAAGGAAGCATCTTTAACTTATTTCCTTGGCAGGTGTTGAGAGAGAAAAAAGATTTTTTGGAAGTAGATAAATTGTTTAAAACACTTGTGATGCAATGTTGGAAGTGATCAAAATTAAAGACAAGATTGCTTGAGCATTTGTATAAAGCTAAGCTTTTAATTAGAAAGAACATAACGCGAAGCTTTGTATAAACTTGAACATGAAGCAATGCTTTACTTTACGACATTCATGAAGCGTAGCTTTACATTTAAACAAACAAAAAGCAACGCTTGAGACATTCTTGGTTCATATTTCATATTTAATGAAGCGATAATCTAAATCTGAAGCAATGCTTTACTTAAAGTTAACAATATTAAAAGCAAAGCTTCACTTTTAAATCTTTAATATAACTGACAATTTCTTCAACAATAATTTCAATAATTTCCTAATCTCTAAAAAAGAATCATGTCAAAATTTAAAAATCTAATAAATATCCAATTACTTTTCAACAACAAGACGCGATAAGCAATCTGACACATTTCTGTCAAATCTTGTCATAATTTAAATACTGCTGCACAAGACATTTATTGTTATTTTTTTTTTATTATTAAAAAACAAATTTTTTTGATACCAAAAATTACATTATGTAAAAAAAGTTTATAAATCCTCAATTCGTTCGTCTTCGCTGATTTTTTAAGCATTTAAAAAGTCGAGTTGGAATTGCTTTAATAAAAAGTTTTTGTTTAAAAAAAAAAGCTTCCAATAAAATTTATGGTACAACTTTTTGCATTAAATTCTTATTTTTATTTCTAGAAATATTTTACGCATAACTTTAAGGGGCATAAATATCAATTTTACGTTTCTGTTTTTTTAAAATCGAAGAAAATTTTAAGGAGGAGTAGAACATGAGGTTCTGGAAAAAATCAAAATCGATTAAATTCAGAAATCAATTAAAGTAAATTTTACATTAAAGAAATAATTGAATATTTTTTAAATCAAGGAATAGAACACAAATGGTAGCTTTAATACTTTTACACTGTTATCTCATTATTGAATATCCTAGCATAATTTAAAAGAAAATTAAATTTTCATTACAAAGCAGATTTTTATCCTACGAGGGACACAATTTCATTTCCTTATTAAGTTTTGTCTGTTTTTAAATTCGATAAAAAAGGAAAGAACCCAAGCTTTAGCTGTGGAAACCAAATGTGATCTTAAGTTGCACTTGAGCAGTGTTTCTCAACCTTTTTTGGTCCACGTCACATTTTATTACATAAAAATGTTCCCTGCAGACCTAAATGTGTCTCGTGGCACATTAAATGATTTTCAAAATCTTTTTGAAGTCATAAAACATGAAAATATAAAGCCAATAATAGCAAAATTGAGCCACGTCACATATTTTGAGAACCACTGTACTATAGCATCTAAGTTACAAATAAAACCACTAAGAAATGATATCCAACTTCCAACTGACCTGAATAAAAATCTTAAGAAACCCTTCCTCAACACTCTGCAAACTAAGCACAGCAAGTTATAAAACAAGAAAGCTCTTCAAGTTGTACTTCTCATTTTATTTCCCAATCGTACATCTAGAAGTATTTTAAAATAATTAACGTAAAGGTTGAAAATAAAAATGGATTTTATGTCAGGTGAAAAGGTTGAATTATTTAAAAAAAAAAACAGAAGAGAATGAAAATAATGGAAAGAATTTCTGGTATTTTTCGCCTCACTGCTGCCATTCTTCCTTCCTTTCTCTTTACTTTCTCTCTTCACAAAAGGAATTTCTTACTTCTCTCTTCAAATGTCTTACGATAGTCATCAAAGGAATTGGGTTAAAAATACCTTTTTTTTACTTCTCTTCAGATCTCTGCCGTATGTCTTTAAGGAAGGAAAATGTGGAAGTGAATCCCCTCTTTATATATAAACGACCATAGTCCAGAAATCTAAACTTATCATTTCACCTTTTTTGCACTGTCTGTTGGATAACCTTTCTCCTTTCATCGTGATAAAAGTTAAGAAATATGAGGAAGGTTTGGGGTTTTTGACTTCCGGGTGGAGATTATTTTTTTGTCTTTTAGTTCAATTGAACTTGTAAATAGCTTGTCAAAAGTTAAATAATTCTTAAATCAGTCAGTACGCGAGTCATTCAGTTCATTAGTTCGTCAGTCCTTGAGTCCCTCAGTAAGCACGGAAGTATCTCTCAACAAACAATTTCTAACCGTTTTTAATATTCTTAGGAAAATGACAAAACCTTTCAACAACAGAAAAATAATGAACAGAAGGAAAAATAGCAAATAAATAGACAACGCGCTTCTAAGTTGATAGTAGAGATAATGGATTCAAAAACGGTTTTAAAGACAAATATTTGTAATTCGTGCCTTGGAACAAAAGAGTGGTTGTGCTTTTAAAATAGATTTTTTTTTCTCTTACCTGAGCCTCTTGACTAGCTCTTTTGTTTTGTTAAGAGAGTGGATTTTTTATATATTTTTTTAAATTTTTATCTTTTGTTGAAAAAAATGCTGATGTTGAGTAGAATGAATGCGACGAAATAGAACTGCATCGTTTTCAAGCTATTCTAGATGATAGAAATTATTATGACCCCTTTGCTGAAAATCATCGCAAGTTTCCCATTTCAAAGTTATTTTTTATCAGAAATAATTTTTCCACCCTAAACAAATTTTCAAGAACATCAACGAGGGTTGAAGGACTAGATAACATTATCATAATTAATATAGCACCACAGGTTCTCGAGATTTTGTTAATGAATCTCTTTTAATGAGCTAGTAAATTTTTAAAAAGTATCTAGTATCATGACTTTTATGTTGAGAAGTTCTTTTATGTGCATTATTAACATTATGATTTCAGTAATGACAATTGTTTTCGTCTCCTGTTGTCCTTTAGAGTTGGGTGTCTTTTAAAGGAAAGAAAGAATTGAAGAATAATCTGAAATATCAAAATTGAGGTTATGTGATCTTTATTCAACTGAAAAACTAGACTTTCCACAAAAGTCAACTTCAGTCTCAAGCATAAACCAA